TGAGTGGGCCAGGAAAACTGACATAAAACACCAAATATGGGAACAGACATGACAGGATTAGGGAATTGTAGAGGATTCATCCTCTCTTTGCTGCCTAAGTGAGCGACTCTGACCTATCTGTATTGTTAATAAAGACCAATACTTCCAGAAAGCCTTTTCACTCCTTTTCTCTGTAGTGATTATAGAGAACTTCTAAGATGTCTGGCTTAACCAAGATAACCAACTTTTGGACAGCTCAGTTACATGAAAAGTGTATTTTCATTATCTGTTTTGCTTTAGCATTCTTACAGTTTTATAGGAAATAATACTTGATTTTTACTCTTTTTTTTTCTACTACTGAAATTATATACTAAATACTCAAAGAAAATACAGTTGCTGCACACCAAGATACAGTATCTTTCCATCTAACATTCTCCTCTCTTTCCTTGTTACCAGGGTTTTTTAAATGTGATGATGTCCCACCACTGTTTCTGAGATTTCCTGAATTTATTTGTTTGCTCATTATTACGTAAGGGATGATTTCTGCCTGTTTGAATATATTTCTGTGGGGAGTGCTGACATTCTTATCCACACTTCAATTGTCATTTCTAGGCCAGACAGTTAATATGATTTTCTACTATGAGCTTCTTACTACGTGCAGTTTTAACATGTGTTGCAGCGAGGCAGTATACTGAAGTGCACAAATGGCTTATGGAAGAGGTGGGTATTAGGTGAGGGTTGTTGGGTTCTCTTAGGTCAGTTAGTAGGCAGCGTAAATATGTTCCTGATAGTGGTAAAAGGAAATACTGGTGGACTTCATATTCTGATCCCATCCTTCTCATGTGAGTGCAAGTAAAAAGTGGTTATGTTTGTGGATAATACCAGAATAGGAGCGGCTGCAAGCCTGCAAAGGAGGGATTAGCGTTCCAAATGGTGAATGGGAAAACACAGAGGACTAATCAACAGCATCTGGACAGGACCACAGTTTTTTCTCTGGGGAAAGGCTGAGGGATGTAATGGTTCCCAATCTGGGTTTTTATCACCATGGTGGTGATTTTGCACAGAGAGCCGAGGTTGCCCTGGGAGGCAAATCCGGGTGTGTTGCCCTCAAGATGGAAGAGGGAATTGCTCTGCTGCACTCAGTGCGGGACACTGCCATAAAGAAAGGTGTGGGCTAACGCTAGAAAATCAAGAGGGTAGTGACACAGGTATGTAAAGGTCTAGAAAATAGTTATGAGGAAATACTGGAAGAAATTGAGGCTGTTAAAGAAGACTGAGGGAGGACATGATAAGTACCTTTAAATACATTAAGTGCTCCTGCAGAAGTGAAGGGAGTAATTTATTCTCTTATCCTTCACAGCCAGAATGGGAAGTAGTGGGCTTGATGTACAACATGATGAGAAAAGTTAGATGTGAGGAGAAACTTTCTGATAATGACAGATTTCTTGGGAAGACTGTAGAGTCCATTACTGAATATCTACAGGAACAGCATAGACAAATACGAGGGAAGATCACGCTGCACAGCACCCTACCTGAGATACGAAGCATGGAATGAGTAACCTCTCATCCAAACCTTCCTAGCCTGTTTTTAAGGAAGGAAAAGCCATGGGCTAGGCAAGTGATGAGCCATTAACAGTGAATGTGTGTTAATTTTTAGTATTGTGGAATTACTGTTGTATTGGCCAGGTCTTGTCTTTGCCATGACTCCTATCCTGGCTGTTGTGAAACCTTACTTTCCATTTTGTGTAGGACCCTGATGGGAATTCTCAGCCTCTGATAAAACCTGAGCCAAAAGGGCTTTTTTCAGTGGGTTTCCATTTTTAAGCTGTTCACATGACTTTCCCACAATGGTATTTACCTGATTTTTTACTTTTTAGGCAATGTCCCAAGCATTCAGTACAAGCAGTTGTTGATTTTATGAATATGTCCTTCAATGCACAACTTGGAAATGTGGAGAGGTGATACCTACAATGTGAACCTACAGTTGCTGAGTTAATGTAGCCTAAAAAATGGTAAAGTAATAAGATTTCCTAGAGAGTGATATTTCAGAACTACTGAATGAGTTGTTGAGTACTGGTTTGTTTTTTTTTTAATATTTGGGGATGACTCAAATGAAATTACTAGAAGAGGGGAAAAAGAAGAGGCTGCTGTGATGAACAGATTACAACAAAAGTTAGAGTTCTTAGCAACAAAAAGCTTGTATTCTTTTACAGAAAAAAAATGTATTTTTAATGAAAATCCCAAAAGTTCTTGACATGAAAAGCTTTCAACAAAAGGTTTGCATTTTTCTGTGGGAAAAAAAAAAGAAGGCAGTAGAAAAATTCCCTGGTTGGTTGATTTGTTTTCATCAGCATTTCTCCCAGTTTGTCTCACATCACTACTAGAGTCTGTCTGCATTACTGCTCTTTTTGGGAGCACAGACAAACTCTTCTCTCCTTGGTGTGCTCAAAAGTGTATTTGCTACTTTTTCCTGAGTGTTTTTCTTTTCTGAGTGATCTTTATCCTATTGAAAAAGACGAGGTTATCAGTATTGCAGTGTGAAATCACTGCATCTAGGCAAAAGCAAAGGCAGTGGCATTATGAGGTTTTTTCCATCCCAGGGTTCTTGTTTATTCTTCTTCGCTGAGTCAATCCGTATCTATAATCTCTCTGTCAAGATTTGGCCTAATGACTTTACTCAAGACTTTACTCTACATAAGCCTCCGAACCCTAATGACTTTACTCAAGACTTTACATAAGCCTCCGAATAGTGATCTGGTCAGTCCTTACCTGCATAGGAAGTGGTTAAGCTGAGGATACAAAACTAGAAGGCTGGATATTGCTAGACCTTTCATCTGGCTTGTTCTGCAGAGGAAAATTAGAGTTCCAGGAGGTCACTGAGGCAAATAATCAAGAAGGGTTATTCTAAGGCAGGCATAAGAAGTATGCAAAAATTGTTTTGTGGATGCATATTTGAAAGATAATATTTTTTTCTGTCCTCATAGGTACAGAACACCTAATGTCATGAACAGGTCTGGGGGAAAACTGTAACTACTAAATTAAAAACTAGGAAAATAGACTTGCTGGCTTTCTCCTGTCCTAAGTTTCCTGTGTTCTCTCTTTCATAATACGAGAAGACACTCCAGACACCACATTTCTGGGGATTACCTTTCTTGGGGTTGAAGCCTTTGGCCTCATTCTTTTCCTCACAGTTAGGTTGTTCATAAGCCCCTGGAAAGACACTGTCTGTCATGTCTTGTTGCTTAAATATTGTGATGGAGCCTGTGAATAATCTCAAACTGTCTTGACATGCTTATAATAGCTTTTGTTCTACTTCTGTACCCATCCATGTCCATTCCTTAAACTCCGACGGCATGGTGTGTTCCAGCATGGACGTGGTATGTGACGGTTTGACCAGAGATGCTCTGGGAAGATCAGACTGATACCTTTAATTTCTGTGGATGGTGACAATGGTTTGGAAAGCAAAAATGACCCCTCGGTGGGAAATGATATTGTTAGACCTTTTTTCTCCCTGCCTTGCTGGTTTTTTTCACCCTTTGGTGAAAGTTGCTGGGAAGCGGTCAGCTGAGCTGGCGGTACCCTGCAGAGTGACGTTTTCACGCAGGGCTTTTTCAGCTGCGCTGTGTGCAGTGAAGGCTGCGTTAACACCAGATGCCAATCATACACCACCGGTGGATTTGCAAGATTATAGGACAGGAAAAAAGATGAAGGTTAAGCACAGGGCACAATAGAGATTACTTATGGTAATGAATTGTATAATTTTTCTAGACAGATCTGGATTAATGTTTATCCCAGGCAAGAGATTACTGTATGTCTGATTCTAGTTGTAAACAGACATTATTAAACAGAAGGTTTATGTTCATGAAATGCGACTATGGGTGTTAAAGCACTTATGATTTATTATGTGCAAAGAGAAAAATTAACCTGTTCATCTGCTATAGTACTAGATGCACTGTGGATTTTCGCATAATTTGGAAGGCATCTGCTCCTTTGGAATACGAATAATCAGTGAAATGAGAAGAATTCCCCTCTAATTTACACTATGCCCTACACTGCAGAGGAGCTGAGGCGGTGTAACCAGCTAAAGAATAGTCTTGTGCGCTTTTATACAGCAGCAGCATTTCTATAAGAGAGAATGTTGACAAAGTCTATTTGCTTGTGAATCTTTAGGGATTTTCTTTACAATTAAAAAGAAACTGTTAATGTTTAGAGAGCTTAACAAATTGTCTTATTGGGGTTTCCCTGTATAATTCCCTTTCACTAATTGAAAGCATAACGTTTAGAGACATTAAATTTAAAAAAATACGTATTTTACTCCATTTTTCACATAATTTGTGTTGCAGCTGATTTTTCTCCTGCTTGATTTCATCACTGTTGCTCAGCATGTAACACATAGCTACAAAATGCACATTTTTTAACAGTGCCTTACCTCAGTAGCTAAATAATCACACCTGAGTCGGTGACTTCTGTGTTTTGAGTGAGCCAAAAAAATCTCCCTTAAGGAAATGATAAAGTCCAAAACTTTCATCCTTTGATCAAGTAGACATTTCAACTTTATTGCTAACAAAGAAGTATCTTTTCTCTGTGAAAGCAAAGAAAAACTATAGTTATCAAAATCTGTTCATTCTACTTTTGGGCTGTATTTGTAGCCAGCTGATTTTTGCATAATACCATTTGAAATTATCCATTTAACAATGAGGGATGATACAACTGCGTTACATTCCCTCCACTTTATAACTGATCTGTCTACTTACAGATTGCATTGGACATGCTGCTGATGCTTTATTTGTAAAATTCACTCACATATGTGAGAAATTTTTCCGTTAAGTCTTACTGACTTCAAAGAGGCTTCTCAGATAAGTGAAAATACACCTGTATATAAGCAAAACCAGCCCAATCTGTACCAAACACGGGAATGTGGAGCAGAAAGGCCTGGGAATATTATGAGGTGTGTTAAGTGAATTAGAATTTAAGCAGTTAAACCAGGTTGGAATAAAACATACTCTGCTAAAGTATTCCGAATGCTTCAGTTAAAAAAGGTTGCAGGTCTTAAATTGCTATCAAAACACTTCATATTGGGTTTTTTTATATTCCTTAGCTATATTTTGCATTTGATATAACAGCATATGCTATATCATGAGAAAACTGTACCTTCAACACATGTAATATTTTGTCTAATTATCAAATTTTACAATGGCTAGAAAGTGAGTCTGAAGTTGAAGTTTGTAAACAGATTAATTAACCAGTAAAAGTTTCTGTGGGCTTTGTTAATGATTCAGTGTAGCATCTGAAGGCGACGGAATCTTCTGGTGGTACCCGGGATGCCGGTGAGAGTCCTTCAGGAAACTGGGGTCAGCGGCACTGCGGCTGCTTCAAAGTTTGTGCAGCGAAGCATAGTATTTTGGGAGGCACTAAAATATATGCAGTGCTCTTTTCTTTGCTGTGTGTTGGCAGACATCGATAAGTCATGGAGATGACCTCCATCTTCCCAAGAGAGGGAAAGCTAGAAATGAAGACACTTTTCTGTTATCAGTCTGCTGTGGGTCATAAGTTGAACTGGTGTTATATTTTCCTCTGGAAGCCTCGTAGTCTTGACATGGTGTTTAACAGTGTTAAGCTTATTGCTGCTGAGCTAAACATGTCTGAAGCGAACGATGACCCTCACGTCTTTGCGATAGCAGAATGTCTCCCTGATGTGATCCCGCAGACTTGGAGCATTAAGTTAATTTTCCCCTGGATTTCTGAGCTGCCTCCTTTTTACCCGGCGGAGAGCTTGTGAAGAATACAGCTTCTGACCGGATGACAGAACGTGGAGGGTGAAATTAGATGCATTCAATTAGAAGATGACAAAAAGCCGATCTAAATATTTGTCAGGATGCTACTTACAGGGCGTAGTGTCCAGCCCGGGAAGTGAAAGCAGCCGTTCTTCGGACTTAATAGTCTGGGCTGGAAAAAAATGGGTAAATCATCCAGATTCTTTATGGGCTTGGAGGGGATAATTGAGGGTATCGAGTGGGCTGTTATGTTTCCAGGGCTGGTGATCCCTCTTGTGTAATCTCAGATTAGTTCTTTTCTTGTATTCACTTAATACAGAATTAACCATTACAAAGTTTTCTGGACCACTTGAGCAAATAGTGTTGTTATTTCACTGCTAGGGGATGGATAATGCAGTGGTTTATGGGGGGTACTGGAAAAAGAGGGGTTCCGCCATCTCGAAACTAAAAAGAAAACAAAAAAACCCAAACAAAACAAAACAGCGAAAAAACCACAACAAACAAACCAAAAAAACCACACCAGAAAGCAAACAAACAAAACCCCAAAGCCACAAAACCCAAAGAAACAAAAAAGCCACGGCAAATGTGTCAGCTGTGAGATTGTCGGGTTTGGACCAGAAGGTTTATGGGTTTTCCAGAGGACGAAAGGATGTTATTAAAAACTAACATTCCTAATTTAAACAGTTTAAACAGAAGGAGATCAAGATGTGCAACCTGGTGTGGCCACACCTGTTTATATGTGAATTAAATGTGTAGCAACTTTTTAAAATAAGAGACCAAATCATTGGCTTGTAATTTCCTGATCAGAAAGTTTTAATTAGGAAAATAAAAAATTTAAATACAGCATATGATGTTTACCTTTTTTTTTCATTTCTGTTACAGCAGTTCAAGGGAGAATGTGGCTATGATAGGGTTAATCCAGCTACATAAAAATCCATGCTGTGTATGATAGTAGTAAAGCTTGTGATCCCTTGATCTTTGATTAGATCCAAGCTAGTAAATATCTTGTGTTTAATCAGAATGAGTTGTTCTGCATGTAGTATAAGTCACCTTCACAGATGGGATGTAGCAGCAGAGTTGTTCGTGAATATTTGTTTTAATCCTTTGCAGAGCAAGCACGCTTTATGTTTCTTTGTTGTAAATCAGATTCAAGCAACTAAAGACCAGCACGAAGGAAAGCATTTACTTGCAGTCAGGAATAGGACGGTGTGGGAGCCTTTTTCTTCTTAAAGAAAAATGTAACTTATTAGAATCTTAACAGGTATTTTATCCTATTCCATAAACATAACTAACACACAGTGGTGGCTTTGTTAGACTGGGATGCAAATAGCATTTTCTAGAATTTCATCTTAAACTGTTCATATACATTTCTAGTTTAGGAGCCTGTAAATATATGGAGATTAAGATTTATATGGTAAATGTTTGGCCTCTATTACTATTGTATATTTGAAAGATATTTAGTTAGAATGGTAGCTGTTCTGCATGATGGCAAACTAAAATTCTTAAAACATTATCTGTAAGGCTAGTTGTTCCGTGTGGTACGTCGGCGTCCTATTTACCTAAATCTGTCATAATTGCCTTCCGATACATCTTCCTCTGACACACCAAATATTGAAAATGAGAGGACTCTTTGCTGGGAGATTTTCTACAAATGTCATTTTTCCCTGTTCGTGACTTGATGGTAATAACTGGACGACCCGTAGTTAAACGCGTCTCAATTTCTCTCACTTATTTTTCCTGATCACCACACAGAGCCTTCTGTGCTCAGAGGTGTGATTAGATTTAACCTGCCATCATATCTGAAGAACTTTCTGTACAACATATTATACATTGCAAGAATCACATTATGTGGATGGTGGGTCTAAGTGTAATATAGAAATAGATATAAAGATGAGTTGCTTTCATCCCAAAGTTAATCCCTGATTTTTTTTTTTTTCTGTTTTTAACAGGAAGACTGGAGAGCCCCCACTAATAAATGGCTGGATTCCTTACCTTGGGAAGGCTTTGATTTTTAGAAAAGATGCTTTCAAATTCCTACTGGATCAGCAAAAGAAACTTGGAGATATTTTCACTGTACATATTGCTGGTGAGAAATATTTGTCTTGATTTTTTCCATCAGTGAAGTTAAATACTAATTCATATATTTAGTTTAGAATCTTCCTTAATCAAAAACAATTTTGTGTAGCATGGGACAATGAAAATTACTTAAATTCACATGTACTGTATGCATAAGGAGTATCCATAGGATATAATTGTGACCATGTGGATTTATATACAGCTATAGGTATACATGCGTATTGACAGAATTTGTAGGCATGTAATGTATGAACATAGATTTTGCCAGCACATTTAATTGTGTATTGTTTTGGGGTTTTTTTCCTAAAGAAGGGAGAACTAACATCATCTTGACACCGCACAGAAAAATATCAGATTAAATTTAGAAAACACTTAAGAAAAAAAGTGCCGAATATGTTCTCACACATTTTACAACTGGTTGACAGGAACACAAGGGAATGAATGACACATTGACTCAGTGATACAATCAGGACTGGAACACAGAAACTTCCCGTTTCCAGCCTCTTACTCTGATCATGCTTGCTGAAAATAACAATATAAGGAAGTATGATATAACCTTGCTGCTTTCTGTGTTTGTAGCTGTCTTACTACACCAGCTCGAATGCAAACATTTGAGTGATTTCATGTAGACAATTAGCTGTAAAGAAAACCATAGAATGAAACTGAAATCTTGAATTACACTTAAATAAATAAATTTACACATCTATATACAGGTGTACTTTTTACTAAAATCTATTTGAAAAAGAGCATCTTCCTCTGTTCAGAAAAAGGCAAACTCTTATTAGTGTAGGTGGGTGTAATGGATCTTTTGCCCCTTTACATGCTGATACCCTTTTTCAAAATGATCAATTTTAGAGTTATGACTATCTCAATGTTAGCTATTCCTGTATTTTTAGGGAGTTTCAAATAAAAATGTAAATTATAAAGTTTGCTTTGTAATTTTGTGGCAGTAGCATTAGCTTTGTATTTCCTTATAAGTAACATTTTGCAATAAAAATAATCTTTTTCTTCAAAAGTCAATTAATTAAATTGCAAGCTGTATGTTTAATTAATAAAATCTTTCTTCTTCTTACTAAATCCTTCTTTTTCCTCTGGAAGAACATTTTTACTGCTAATAAATGTATGAATTTTTTTTTAATCCATTCAGAGTTTTTTTTTTTCCTGTGGAAACTATATGCTCAGATTTTTTCCCATCTTGAAAGTGAGTTTGGGACATTACAACACCAACTTTTGTTGAAATACAGCCTTTTTAATTGTTAATGTACATTCACACTATATACAGTCATGGCTTCTTACAAATACAGATTGATAATTATAATTCAAAGACTACCTTAGTATTTTCGTAAAACTAGTAACAGTCATACTTCAGAATCCTTAATGTGTTTAATCAAATATTTATTTTTCTTTCACCTCTTTATTATTTTGCGCAACACTATGTTTAGAGATTTGTGTGTTTAATTAAGTGCAATTTAGTTTCACAAATTTCTATTTGTATGTTAAACAAAATTCCGTTTCGACTTATCTCCCTGTGTTTAGGTATTTTGAGGAAGCCTTCATTGATAGAGACTGAGGTAAATGGAGTGAGTTCTGGATATCATTTCAACCTTATGCAGGGAAATCTTTGATTTTGTGAATTTGTCATAACAGAGATACTACTTCAAGTTCTGATTTTTTTTGTATAAAATACTGACCGTCAAGACTTCACTAGGAGAAACAGTCTGTCATCCACAAGTCAAGGAAGAAGCTGAAGCTAGTTAGTAGCTCCTATCATGTCCTGACCCGAAGACATACAGGATTTCTGTATGTCTTACTGATTTGACAAAGATGACGTTTGTATGTATGGCAAACATAGCGTAGCCTGTTGTATATGGACTATCGTCTCTTTACCCCTGTGGTGGGTGTCTAAAGGTCCTGTCAAAAAATTCTATCAATATATATTGCTCTAATTATTGGTTCTCAAACTAGTTCATTTGGAAAATGCAGAACGATGCTTGGAGTTTCTGGCATTGCCCCGTACCGGTAATGCGATTTCGCTGATTGTACTTTCCCATGTGATGAGCAAATGATTGTCATCCCTAAAAGTCACAAGGGACATGGATGTCATCTTAATAAAGAAATTAAAAAGCACATCTTTCTATGAGAAACAATGTAAATTCCTGACCTGTCGCAGAAAATAGTTCTCTAATTGGTTTTGTGTGGTGGTGCAGCAGAATCGTTTTCCCCAAACGTCACGCCGGCGAAGAACCACTGTACATCATTGTCAGCAGTTCAGCAGAATCTCCCTAATAAGAGGACGATTACGTAAATGCAATAGTCTTCAAAAAAAAAAAAAAAAAGAGAGAGAAAAGAAAAGAATAAGGAGGGGAAAGAGAGAGAGAGAAGAGAGAGAGTCTGTTGTGTTGAGATGATCGTACTTCCCAAGCCAGCCTCTCTGTTAAGGGTCAGCAGCATAGGCAGACGGCTGCGTAAGAACTTAAAGAGCTCCAAAGAGTTTTGTTGTTGATTCTCGGGATTAAACTTTGTCTCCTTTCCTTGACAAGTTATTAGGAACGATACCAAACCTTACAACACTCTCTCTGAGACTAGCTAAACTTTTAATAAAATAATTGTAGGGTTTTTTACTAAGGACACTTGCCTTTTAGAATACTGCTGTAATGAATACTCAGTCATTATTTTCTTTTAAATCACGATACACCTGCAGCAACATATCACATTTTTTTATCAGGCAAAAGGTAATTTACTCCTTACCAAACTGACGCCTGCTGCAAGCATTACCCAAATAACATCCATCATTAGATGCCATCTGAAATGCTTGTCTTTCATCATTAGCATTTAAAAGCTCCAGAATGCATTATTAGAGTAATTTCTTAACTATCATACAAATACTGGCTTCTGTGCTCAGATTTACCAAAGTTGACAATTTTCATATTTTCCACATCAATCTTCTATTTCTAGACTAAAGGGAGATAAGCAGGCTATTTGCAGCCCGGGTGTAATGCAGACTGGAGGATCGGATGGGGAAGCATGTATTCTCTGTAGCCATATTTTAAAAAGAATCAGAGGACTTTTTACAGAAACAAGTATACATCTTTTATTTTGACTTGTTTTTACAGTACTAAATAAAATAGCTCAGTGACTCTAAACTGTTGGGATTTGGAGTGTGACATTTCTGTATGGACATGACTACTTAGTTTTCGTGTGAGGGAATTTTTTATGCTTAACAAGGAAAGGCTTGATCCCCAATGGTTTCTATATAAATACCTTCAATATTTAAGGCTTCCTGATTTGTGGAGCGTGTGATATGCCTCCACTTTTGGCTGATCTGGCATTTACCTTTATCGGTCTGATGGAAAATCATGAGCATCAAGATTTTAGTTCAGTTTCAGAAAAGCCTGATTTTACAAGGTGGTTCCTGGCATTAGCTGCAATGGAAAGGCATCCGAGGGAAGGGAAGAAGCTGCATTTTAAAATACCGAATAGTAACTGGTAACTTTAGGAAAAATTTGCATTTGTTGGCACCTCTGACACCACCAGGGACAATCAGTGGGAAGAGACCTCACCAGGGACAATGACAGGATTTAAAAAGCAAAATTAAGAACCATATTGACATTTACAAAATGTAAAATCATGACTTGAGGTGAGAAAGTTTGTTCCAGTTCGGATGTTTGCTGCTCAGGGTAGCGAAGGTGTTGGGGCACGATTTTGTAATTAGCAATCTGTTCCTGTATGGAAGAGACTGGGCTAACCGGTATAGCCGCATAGTGCATCTGTGTGCAAGTATGACTGTAATTGCTAAAAGCTCCCATACCCATTCTCACAACAACAACTTTCTAACTGCAGTTAATTAGCTCTACATTTTACTCTTTTTCTCATTAAGAGATCTAAAATTAGATTCTCGGTGAGGTATGTAAACAGGCTGCCTTCATTATAGAGGGGTTCAGCCTTTCTGACTATATAGACCTTTACTAAATGTGGTAACAAAAGTATTTTGCTTTATGTATTTATATAGATTGTTGACTTGCAGTGGTGTGGTCTGGAGCCTGAATTGATTCTCCAAAATTAATTATATTTTGGTATATACTTATTTTTTGCTACCAGGAACCTGATGAGAATAATAAAAATCGAGATCTATGATATTCTGTTTCTCAGAGATTTTTTTTTTCCCCAAAGTATGTGCTAGTGTTGTGTGAGTTTTGATTTAAAATTATTGCTAGAATAGTTTGTTTGTCTGAAAACGCATTTGCTGAAAATCATTTTCTTACTTAAAAATTGTAAGAACTGATGTGCGTTTGCTAAGTGTCTGATTAAAGATCACAAAGAAACTCATATTTTGCATCAGAAATAAGCAGATGGTGGACAGATGGTTTAAATTAATATTAATTAAAAATCTTAACTTAAATTGTTTACCCTGTAAATGCAAAGTTAGGAAGCCAGGTTTCATCTTTAGGGTTAATAACACTCCAAATCTATTTATTAAAAATTGCTCCAATGGGCATTCTTTCCAAGATTTGAGCACAAAGATGGTAGCCTCAATAAAGAGCATGAAAGTGGGTGAAAGCTGGAAAGGGAGAGCAATTCTAGGACTCTTGACAAAGATCCTGCAGAGGTCAAGACTAAAAATTCCTGTCAGCCTCTGTGTTCTGGGAAGGAAGAAATGGTCAGAAAAGAGGACTGGGAACTGAGAATTTCTTTTTCATGCTGGTTTCTCAATATATTTATTCTTTAAAATTTAATTTATACCTATGGTTGATAATGTTACAGTAAAGCAAACTCTATGGGGACCTTAAAAACCTTCCCATGCTGTTGACAACAAAAAGAAGAGGCTCAAGTTCTGTTTCAGTTTGTCCTTTGTGTTTCCTTACTGGTTCACTGGGATTGCACTGGATGGAATTGGGAGGGAAATCATGACATCTGGTAATTGCAGCGGAAGACCAGGGTGCACCCAGATATACCGTAGAGCATTGTGTGTATGTACCAGTCAGGATATGGAATAACTGTGATAATTCAGATATCACTGTATGGTAACCATGGATACTTGTTGACTTTTTTAGTGGTAGTGACTTCTTTATCTCAGGACATCTGTCACAGAGCCAAATTTGGTCCACAGTTAAGCATGTAGTGATCCCATTAAAATCAAAGGAGATTTGTCCCTTTAATGAGAAGGAATTAGACTCTAAGCGCTGGAAGCTTTTGCTATTTTCCTAAGTTGATAACTGGGATATTTCACAGAGGATGTGTACATTTTAATGGGTACCCTTTCTCCTTATTGCACCTCTCCCTTCAAGTTAAGTCAGGAACTCTAGATTAGACTTAATATGGGAGTCATCTGTAAAGAGTTAAGATTTAATTGAGTTTTGGGAGCGCTAGTATTTTGATTCATGATAGTTCACCAAAATGCTCTTCTTGTTGACTTTAAGTTTACCTAAAGCTTAGGGAGAAGTTGCAGGATTTTTATGGCAGAGACAACTTGGAAAAGCATCAAACTTGATGCCAGTCCTGTCCCTCTACAAGCAGCTGAAGGTATGGCTCTGTCACCGCACTGAGAACCTCAGGAAGGGTAGGAAGTTGTCGGTGGAGTCTGGCACAAGGCATGATAGCACTAGGACAGTGCATACCCCAAAAGGGTATCCATGTTAAATACAGCATCTTACTCCATTGCAACCTACAGCTTCAAAATCAAATCCCAAAGGAGTCATTTTGCGGATACTAAGCACATCCTTAATAAAAAGTTAGCAAAACTTCAGGAAAAATACAGATGTGAGAGGGACTTTAGATGCTGGGGGATTACAGTGTGCAATTAAAGACATAACTGGCAGATTTTGAGTCTCTGTGTCATCTCCTTGAGGAAAAGCTGCCTAGGTGACATGTTTTCCACTCCAGCCACCCGCATTCATGTCCCTCCATGCAGGTAAAATGTGTGTGCTTCTCCCTTTCTGCTGGTAATAACCTACAATTTGCAAATGCTGCTACAACTCCACATTGTATTTTCATGAATTATACCAGAGTGGTAAATGATTTATTCCAGAGTGCCACAATTGCAGATCACACCCCACTGTTGGAAAAAACAGTCTACATGGAAATGGCTTCACACTGATTTTAGAAGAGCCATGAAAGTGTACGCAGGTGAAATTTCCATCCTGACAAAGAGAATCAGTACTGCTTCTTCTCCAAAGCTAAATAAAACCTGTTACTTTTTTATTTTCTTTTTCTTTGCGTGTTTCTTCACAGATCTTTGCTTTGGGTATTTTCTGTGTGCTTTTTTCCCCAGACATTGCCTTATTTTGAGTTAGTACTTCTGAAAATATCACCACATTGTAAAAGTGCATGTGTGTCTATTTTTTTCTTTTCTTCTATTCAGGTAGATATATTACCTTTATCATGGACCCATTTCAATATGTCTATGTCATCCGAAATAGCAAACAACTTGAATTCCATGAATTTGCTGATAAAATGGCTTCCAAAACTTTTGACTACCCAGCCCTGTCGAAGGGAAAATTCCCAGATCTCAAGGAAAACCTGCACAGAATCTACCAGTATTTACAAGGCAAGCCTTTGGATATAATTTCTGACCACATGATGAAAAATCTCCAGGATATATTTGAATGGAAATGCTCACAAGCAACAGATTGGGAAACAGAAAAAATGTACAAATTCTGCTGCTCTGTAATGTTTGAAGCCAGTTTTGTAACACTATATGGAAGAGTTCCTGCTGCAGATGGCCACAAAGTTATTAGTGAAATCAGAGACAAATTTATCAAGTTTGATGCCAGCTTTCCCTATTTAGCTGCAAACATACCAATTGAGTTGCTAGGAGCTACCAAGAAGGTTCGGAAGGAGCTTATACATCATTTTTTACTTCAGAACATGACAAAATGGCTGGGAGGGTCAAAAGTGGTCCAAGCCAGACAAGATATATTTGAGAAATACGAGCTGCTTGGAGATTATGACAAAGCAGGTAGGAAACTTGTGAATGATTGCTTGTCTAAAATAAAATAATTTACTATAGACCTTTGAAATAAAAAGGCAAAATGGCGACCTTGAAATTTTTTTATGTTCTTTCTAATTGGCTAATGATAAAATGTTTTACTCTGAAACAACCCTCTATGATAATTGATTTTTTTTTTTTTTTGTGCTGAGGTGGTAAAACAAGATACTTAATGGTGATAATGAGAAAGATTATAACTGAGCTGCATTTCCTCCCCTTATTCCCCCCACCCCACCCCCCCGACATTACATTTCAAACTATTCTCATTAAGCAGAAAATTAGACTTCAGAAGCCTATTGGTCCTCATTAGCATTCACTGATCCTTGGCTGGGTCTGTGTCCTAACATCTTTTAATTAGCACACTGCAAATCTAATCAGTGTAATAAACGCTATTAATCTTCCTTTTCACTTATTTTCTCCCAGCACATCATTTTGCCTTCCTGTGGGCCTCTGTGGGAAACACGATTCCAGCTACATTCTGGGCCATGTATTATCTTCTGCGGCACCCAGAAGCTCTTGCAGCGGTGCGTGACGAGATTGACCATTTGCTGCAGTCAACAGGTCAAAAGAGAGGCCCCACATATAACATCCACCTCACCAGAGAACAATTGGACAACCTGGTCTACCTAGGTAATTTATTTTTATCTGTTAGGAAGAAAAGAGGGGCTCTCCCGGCAAACTCGGTTTATCACTCATTTCGGTTTACTGAGAAGGTGGAGGACACAGCTGCCTAATTGACATAATAACACCCATTTACATCAATTATAAATTATGTAGTTTATAGCTGTAGATACTCTCATTGCATGTAAACATTAAAGCCTAGGTAATTAACTATGCAAGGTATGCAAAAGGCTAAATCGAAGCTTTGCAATTATTTGAAAAAAAGTTGATGCCTATTAAGTTGTTTGATTCTGAGCATCTGCCGAAGTGTTAATGCAGTTCAAATACTTCTGTATGGTACTGCCAAGAAAGACCCTTTTCTGAAATTAAAGCAGGATAATGTATTTAAACTGCAAATGTAATTTTTTTTCACAAGCAGTTTCTTTCTTTTTCGCTCTTCAGCAAAACAAAGACTTCTAAAGCGGGCTTCAGTTGAGCAGTGCCTCTGAACAAAATATAAGAAGGTAAAGCTTTACAGAGTAGAAATGGCGTTGCCAGTATTGAAAAAAAACGTACCTTGATTCAAAATAAGGGAGCTTTAAGTGAAATACAGGTCTTCCAATTCTAGATCAGTTTCAGAGGGAGACCTTTACCACTTGCCCTTAGAAGCAGTTTGATGCAGGAGCTGGATAGGCCTTCAGAGCATCAGCTGATGGTTTCACTTCATTTGCTAGTTCTCAGGCACTGGCAAGACAAATGCTAAAATCAGCCCAAGGGAGGAGAGAGGGTGTAGAGGGTAGGAACCTAACCTTTAGGTGTCTGAAAGTCTCCATAGGTAGTGTTAGCAGGATAGATGACAGCTGAATAAAAGCATGAAGGTTCAATATCCCTCTCTTCCTAAATATTGAAACCAGCCCTCTGTTAAAACTGAGCTCATGTCTATATGTTTTGGTAGCTCATGGCCTGAACTGATGTTCCACTCTTCAAAGAAGCTGTGTCAAGACAGGGTGGTGGAGCAGTACAGTCTCTAAGCTAGATTTGGTTATAGTAGCTGCCGTTCTCCATGACCATCCAACGTGGCATGTATCAAGAGCTAGTGTTCAAACCTGAATTGTTTCTCTAGTACAAATATAAAATTGAGATTGATCCAGTTGCTTTTTCTTAGAGCATTAATGTTTATCTTCTTTAGCGTGAGTCCAGAAAGTTGATTTCCTTTGGAGTCACAGCTGTTTTGGTGCAGATTTCTCTCTAATTGATGAAGGGTGCTTTTGAAGTAGGGGGCATATCTGATGACTTTATGATGATCTTTATGACTATCTGATGATCTTTTACTTATTCGTGTTAAAGAACACTTAAGAACACTTTTGAAGAATAACATGACATTCCAAGCATTTAATGTACTTTTAAGGAACACAAGTAAAATTGCTTCACATCAGTTAGCATCCACCAGAAAATAATAGAAAAGGAAAGTTACTGAGCATCAAGAAGTTCAAGAGATAATTTATTTTGTATTTGGAGACCAAGATGGGAATGGTGAGGTTAAAAAAAAAAAAAATGAAAAAAAGCAATGCACCCCAGAAGTGTAGGAATAAGGAAAATAAAAGCATGTACTTCACTAAAACCATCTGGTGCAAAATGGTATGAACAGTTTAAAACATTAACTGTGTCATTCTTTTGCTGGTCCTTGAAGTACCTTGGTAACGTTTGATTTATGTGTTGAGAGGAAAGTGCCACATCCTACTTTGTAGTATTCTTGTAACACTTTTGTTAAATTTTATATTCGCGTTAAACATAATGTGGTATGAACAGAAGCTAGATTTCAATTCTTCTGGCACTTAAGTCATAAAGGGCTGGGTACTGTCCCATAAAATAATAATATAGAAAAAAAATCTGTACCATAAGAGGATTAAATTCATGCTTCAGTGGAAAGGGGAAGGGATGTTTTGTTAATAAATGCATAGGAGGGACAGAGGTCCCAATTTGCATTGCCTCTGCACCCAAAATCCCCACGTCGCAGGAAGTGGGGGCCAACACTGCCTTTGCCCTTGCAGCTCACTGACCCCAGCCTCCAAGACTGAGCTTGTCCTCTTCCCGCTCCCCCTGTGCCAACCCAGAGCACGGAAAGCTGCAATTTGTGTCCCTGCTCTCGAGTAAGGCAGACCAGGTGGGACTCTCTTACGTTCATCACCCTGTCATCTCATTCTCCTGTTTTAAGCGCTCTGATTCTCCGTCCTCTTTTTGGCCTACTATATACAAGAGCCTGTTTTTTTGGATTCCTCATGCTATGGAGAACAAGCAAGAATTGCTAAAAAGCCTTTCTTAAGAAGCAACGTTGTTATTATGGACAAGATTCTTTTGGTCTAGGGAACAACACAGCCTGATTTGCCTCTGAATTCAAAGCACAGGTATATGATTTTTTAATTAGGGGAAAAAAAAAAGGCTTTAAACCCACAGCAAAACTATCAAAATTTGGCTCTGATTATTTTTTTTTTTATGGCATTTCTGGGACAGCACACTTTGTTTTGTCTATGTAAGACTTTTCCTGAACCCCAAATGCACGTATTTGTGTGTGCAGAGTAACATACACTATTAGTCCTTATGGCTCACAGCGGAGCTCTAATATGGTAAACGACACATGAGAATGGTCTGTCAGCTTTTATGGTTATAATGGAAACGCAGAGGGTAAAGCAGAGCTATACTTGGTGCATGGTTAATGCTAGGCATGTTTAGTCAGTTCGTTTGTTTAATATTAGTCCATTCGTTTATATGGTGAAGTATTCTTGCCCCAGGTCATCGCTGAATCCCAGATATATCCTGCGAAAAGAGCACAGCTTGAAAAAATGTTGTGTACACAGGAAAGGGTAGGAACCCAAAAGCAGCTAATACGGAGTGCGTAGTCGTAACACAACTGCTAAGCATTAAAATTGTTGGTTGGATTGAGAGAAATAAATGTATTTTCCTGGAATGGGCTGGGCAGTGCCATTTAGTTCTTAGTAAGATGCAAACATACTTGTTTCAGATCATCGTTTGTGTTGGCACACCGTGATGCCTGTGGGTAAATGACCCTCCCCAAATTATTTGCATACTCGATAGCTATTTTCCTACAATACACTCTAATAATTATAGTACCCTGTTACCTGCTATGTGTTAGTGTAAAATTAACAATCCATTATGCACAATAAGTTTTATAAAACATTTACAGATAGAGATCATGTTTAATTAAAATTAACTTGCCTACGAAAGCCAAATGCACTTATGATTCGCAATGACCTTTTATTACCTGCAGTCCCTTGTTTTGGCTGGATGATTGACAGCTTGCTGTTTGGCTACCATGTTGTATTTCAGCTGACAAGACTTTTCATTTTAACTCAATTTGCCTGCCTATCACAAGCTGGTGGCAGGCCAGGCTCAAGTCACCCAGCTTTGCCTCAGCAGCTTGCTCTATTTCTCATTAGTACGCATTTATTCAGTGGAAATTGGAAGACAAATGCTTGAAGGCATGTGAACTAAGTATAGCAAATTAGGGTTTAAAGACTGAATATTTATAAGTATATTGAAACAGTTTTAAAAAAAAAATCTAGAATGAATTGGAAGCTGAGTGCTAGCTTTAGTATAAGAGAAACAGAGAGAGAAGTGGGAGGATTCTAAGAATAACAATACTATGAGAGAGATATCTCTTTTTTTTTTTTTCCCCTCCCTCTCTCTCTCCAGAAAATATGTAAAATCTCTCTGACAACACCTTATCAAACAACAGCCTGGCTGCTTTATGTAGCGCACGCACAGTGAAGTTTAGCATCTCATGTGTGTAAGAAGGGGGGAAAAAAATGAGGGTCATGTTCATTTGCTGCTTGGTTATCCCTTGGTATGCTTTAAATTGCCTTGTTTGTTCGGCACAAGCACAGAAACAGATGTTGCTCTACCGTGCTGGATAATTTACTGTATCTCACGGTGCAGAATGGAAGGCCTCCCAAGCTACCCAGCTGGTCTGTCAGCGGCGATGGCTGGTGTCTGCTGAACTATGACAACTGCAAGTAAAGGCTGCAGTTTTATTGTGCAGTTGTCATTCCTCTCAATGTATAGCTCCGGCATTTGTGGAAAGCTGACTGTCTATTTTTTTAATGTGAGCCTGCAAAGCCATATAAGCTCCATTCTCCTTTGTTGATCATAATGTGACTCATTACTTTTGTCATCTAATGATTATCGGCATGATCGCTCAGAGCAAGAGCCAAGCTCGCCTTCCACACATAACTGGTACTGGAAGGTAAAACAGATTTGTCATTTACGATCTGACCGCTAAGCCACACTTTGTGCTCCATTATTGTGATTAACTTCTGCATAAGATATGCTGCCCAATTGTCATTTGGGATCCGGCAGCGGGCAGGGACTGCCGCGCTTTCTGGGAGGATGTCCGCCCATAGGATGTGACCGCCTCGCTTGGGCGGTTAAACGTAAACCTGCTATTTCACAGCGCAGCTTTAATTACTATTTTTCTTTGGGTGTTTTGGGGTTTTTTTCCCCTCCTTCCCCCTTCCACATTTGATTTCTGGTGTCGCTACGTATGTCACCACCATTTCCAAATGGTGGACCAGCACGGAGTTACCAGCTCCATTTTCCGCAGGTTGAAGACCGTCTGGGAGCAGAGGCTGGACCCTTTCTTTGTACCGCGTAAAGTTTTGTTGCCAGAGCGCTGCCAGTTGAAATCTATCGTGTCAGGTGCCTTGTGGCTATCCGCAGTAGAGGCCATCTTCTGGAACCAGGGTTCTTTTCTGGCTTCGTCACCAACAAGCCGATTTGACTCTGCCTGATTATAGTAACGAAGGCAGTCCAAAAGAATATGCACAGACTCACTGTACGTCACATTGAATCACGGCGCTGGCCACACAGAGCTGACCGCAGCCTCATTTCTTTAGACAAATGCATGCTTAAGGAAAAACCTCCTGCAAGAAAGCATCCAGGGCCACTTTATTTGCTATGCGTGCCGCACCAGATTTAATTTTTAGTGAAAGAACATTTGTTATTATTTTTTTTTCAGAGGCATCCACACTGGGTAGCTACTGTCTCTAATAAACTAACCTTTTGGGTGCAGCACTTACAGTGCCTTGGTGAACACTTTGAGGAGGTTTATTTGATATCACAGAACATAGATGCAGGCACAATTGGATTATTATGTGCAAATGAAACCCTATTTTAGGCTATTTTTCACACTGATGATTAGAAGGAATCAAGTCACATATAACAGCGCCCATACATGCTGGTGGAAAAATAGTCAGTTTTGATTACAAAGTGAGAGATGCAGCCCTAGACAGGAGCTACATGCTGATATACATGCTATCAGAATGATTTATGCAAATTATGCATATTATTCCCAAAGGAATTCCTCCTCAAACTGCCAGGATAAATTGCCGGAAATTAGCCATAAAATCTGTCGTGCTAGGAGCAAAAGGTGAAGGCCACTGGGAAAGCAAGGACATTCAGCTTCTGGAGCCTTCCAGGATGTGATGGTGGAGACAGAAATCTTGCTTTCCATAAGCCAGAAAGGTCTATGTTTTGTTTTCTCTTGGCCAATTAAAAGTGTCTTTCTCTCTTAAAATTACCAGGCAAATAATGAATTGCTTTCCTTCACTCTGACCATAACAGACACTGTCATTTGGCAGTGTAGCGCACTGAAAAGAAAAGAAATAAATTTAAAAATCCTCAGAATGACTATGGAATTAACAAGTGAAATGATTTTTTCCAACATATAGTCCCACCATTACATCCAGCAGCTTTCAAAAGGCAAGCTAAATATCTCAGTGGATGCTTTCACTGGTATTTGCTTGCAACCTCTGAAATATATGTAAATGCGTAAAGCGGTCGCGTCCTTTGATTGCGTTGATTTCAACGTGATGCCTGAATAATGACTTTCCACCCAAAACTCGGTGCTGCCTACAGCCGACAGGATTTCTCAGCACCATCAGTGAGAATCACGTCGGGAGGTTCAGCGTCGTGGCTTCCCGCCCCAGCCCTGCGGTATTGTTTATTGCCTCCTCCTGGTCTCTGCTTTATGTTTGCTTTGTGGGGGTTTTTTCCCTTTTTTTTTTTTCCCTTTAGCCTGCCCTACTAAACCTGTCGAGATTCAGCAACCGTAGCCATGTATAACTTCCAATCATCTCCCATATTTCTAACGCTTCCCCCCCTCCGCTTTTGTTTAATCGCAGAGAGTGCCTTAAACGAGAGTTTACGAATGTGCTCATCCTCCATGAACATTCGCATCAGCCAGGAGGATTTTGTTCTCAGGCTTGAAGGGAATCAAGAAGTCGGTTTGAGGAAAGGAGACTGGATAGCCCTTTACCCGCAGATTTTGCACATGGACCCTGAGGTCTATGAAGATCCTAAGGTAAACATTCAGCTGGTGCTACTCTTCCTACTCCAGGCACATTGCAGCAGCCAAACCTTTTGTGATCTGTGGGTTTGGGTTTGTTTTTGGTTTTTATGTCTGTTCCGCCTTGTGGAACAAATCTTCCTATTTTCAGATGTATTTTCTAGGGCCCTATAGGTCAAAGGATTCATGGCCTGAAGAGAGAAATACGGTGATGAGACTGACTTGGACTGCTTTCAGAGGAATTGACAATTGCACACTGACTACCATAAACTTTAGGCTAAACGTGGGTTTGTTTGGCAGTGGATCATTTGATACCCAAGGAGGGCTGAATAATAGAAGGTGTTTTAAATAGCAGATAATGTGGGCCATTTAGCTAAGTGCCCCCAAAGCATCATTGACTCTCTGAAGCCCTATAATAGCAGTGTCTTACTTCAGCCTGTATGCTTTTTCACCTCCCTTCTTAGGGATTCACCCCTTCTTGATCAATCAGTAGAGTGTTGTGAACTTGAGACTGTAAAGCTGTTGCTCTGCAGCAAAGCTCGGAGGGTAATTGTGTCATCTCCTTGTATTTTTCTCTGACGCTCGAGTTAATGAATATCAAAGACTCGAAATTAATCCACCCTGTCTCAGCCTTAATAGGGCTTCAGAAGTTCACCACCTGCATGCAAATTGAATAGTCCTGTCTTGGCTAGGTTGCTCCTCTGGATTGCATTCCCCAGCCCAGGGTGCCACAGAGGGTGTACGCTGAGGCTGTTAAATGCTTCCTCTGCCTGACATTCAAGAGCTCGTATCTCGATCCATTCCTCGTCCCCATTTTCCTAAGCAAATCACTGTCTCCCAGTCATGCTGATTGCCATCCTTGGCACCGAAGCCAAAGAAGAAGGGAACTGGATTTTATGACGTGTTAATAGAAAATCCGTGTTAGAGGCATTGCTCCCTGAGGCTCTCCCTTTCAGGAACTTAAGGATGTGAGGTTGCAGAGGAAAAATGAGATCCAAGAGCAGCAATTGTGCGGGACAGCATCTCGCTGTGTGGGAATTCCCCCAGCCTTGCTGAGAGGAGGTGTGGGGCGTGTCGGAGTTACCAGGAGTAAAGTATAGTCACTAGGGTGAATACAAGCCATGAAAAGGGAAGTGATGTACAGGAGGACTCTGCTGGCTGGCCCCACACAAAAATGAAGACAAAGCCCGCTGAGAAAATTAGGGTTTTAAAAAATAGTCCATATATTGGCAAATGGTTGATTAATATTTCTATCCTTAAAAAGTAACAACTAACAAATAAGCTTTTTTCTCATTTTATTCTTAACACTTTATTTTGGACAACATCGATTTGTCAAAAGTCCATCTGTTTGTTTAGGTCCTAGACCAAAAGCATCAGTGTGGAAACTGATCCCCTCCCTTATCCAATAATTGCCGGAATATATTACCATATTTCCATTGCTTGAATATGTCTGCTTAGTATCAGCTCAGCTCAGCTTTCACAGTACAGCTTTAGTTCATATATTTTATCTTTTTGATAGTGAATGAGCAATCCACACATTGCAGTACATTGATTTCAGCACATGGGCCCTCTCGAAAAGTGGGGAAATCACTGTTCTGTTTGGTTCTTAAAATATGCAGTGTGCTTTCAACAATAACTACTGAGGATCAGATAGAGATGGAGAATGAATTTTTTGAAAGGTGCAGTCTTGAGCTTGTCATGTATTTAGGGAAAACTTTCCTGGGAAAACAGGCAGCTTGATGAGATAATTTTGTAGCAGTGCTTTTCTCCTGGATACATAAATTTAAGTTGAAGCTATCTTCTGCTTTGGCACCATATTGTGTAAGTGTAAGCATATATTGTTGACCTCTTTCTCCACTCATCAAAGCCTAAATAAATGAGTCAGTTTTCTATAAAGTTGATAAGTGAACCCCTAAAACCTAACTCACTTATAGAACTCTGTAAATAAACTCTGCAAATCCCATAGAGGGAAATATCAGGAAACCCTGCAGGAAACCCAACATGGTGGTTTCCCAAACAAAGCTAAATATGAGATGTGACAGAGAGTGACATATCAACCACAGGACATTGCTCAGTTTTCATAATGTCTCTTAGCAGGCCATCCACACAGGACTTCATTGCCTGTTCTTGCTCAGTGTCCTCACCTTTTCCTTGCTATCAACCACCCTGCCTCTTCCAAGGAGGCCTAGTGTGTGGCTGAAAGTTCCTTTGTTGCCAAAAATTAGTCTTTATTTAGCCAGCAAACTAGCTTTTAAGGAAATACTATCCAACCCGAGGGGGTTCAGTAGCACAAGCCTGAGTTTGATGTCATTGTCATTGGCTCCATTCCTGTCTCACACTTGTTTTCTGCTTTCCCAATTCCTTAGACACCAATTTTTATTTTTTTCTTTTTGTTAAAAGCAATCACAACTCTCATGTGGCTCTTAAGATGACAAAGAAAGCATAAGGTTTGATCCAGTATGTCTATGTGTTCAATACCACAGTTCTTAATTGCTCCAGACGCCAGGCGTGCACCTTGTGGAAATGTTCCAGCAAAGTGAAGAGCTCTGGGCTGGGTTGGTTTTTTAAGCTATTGCAGTTCATATTTAGCAGTGCTTGTTTAGACCAGAAGGATTTACATTTCAGGAAGTGAATCTTTTTTAAGGAAGAAGTGGTATTCTGGGCTTTCATTTGATACTGTGCTTCTTCAAACGAAGCAATAACTTACTGGGAAAAAAACCAGCACATTTCCTTTTGGCTGGGGTGTTCAAAGAGACTGAAAGGAATTACTTGTCAGGGTAAACACACATACAATCACCTTTTTCTTTGTGGAAAATCCAGGCCTCTGCCATTTACAGAAACAAGTTCCCATTCTTCAACACCCAAAGTTATATCCCCTCCGGTGTATCTTGTTCCTTTCTCATAGACCACCTCCCCTGCCACTGTTTTGTCTCGACACCAAGACCTGCAGTGCATGCTTTTCAGAGCCTTTAATCTAATGGCTAGATCAGTATCAGTGTATTTTTCACTGTGGTGTGGGGTTTTTTAATCAGTTGAGGTTGGTTTCTGTCTGACTGACTCGTTCCCAGCCAGCTCCAAATGGCTGCTGCTATAGCAGATGTATGCAAAACAGGACAAATGCTAATGAGTGACCATAAGCAAGAAGTGTCTGTCATTTTTATTCAAAGCATGCAGGAGGATTTTGTAAGTGGTTAATTTGCCGTTGACTGAGTGAGGATGCCAGATCTCCTTCATTCAAAAACATGAATTATCTCTAAACAGGGATCCTGCTACTGGAAAATAGGGAGAAAGATGTTCAATTTGTGGAACGTAGGTTACAAGCACAACCTCGAGCCTTACTAGAAAGCACCCTCTCTATAATGGTCAGTCACTGGCACTTGTCCGGCTTTTCACACAGCTTCCGGAGCAAAACATTTGAAGGTCAGATGTGGCAAATTAAGCATCAACCATCTCCAACTGAAGGGAAAAGGGACTGCAAAGCATCGGGTCTGGGTTTCGAATAATGTGCACCACTGGGTGCAAAAGAAGGATGGATTTTTACTCTAGCTTGTAAGAGCAAGATCAGTGCAATGCATTAATTTATTCGTAGGCATTTGCAGAATTTGGCAGATTATCCCTATTCATGATGTATGTACCTCACTGAGTGCGTATGATGCTTTACAAGAAAATTGTCCTTCCACTAAGGTTCATTGTCCCTGCTACAAAGCGGTCAAAATCTAATTACAATCAATATAGGCCAGACACTCAGTGGATGAGACGTGGAAGTTGAAGGAGCTTGATGTAAAAGGGCTAAGCTAAGTAAGTGGATTTAAAGAGTGTTCTTCACAAGGAAGGTGATGTGAGTTAATGAAACTTGAGGGAAACAACTAAAAAGGAGAAGCTGTCAGCTCCTTGTCTTCCTCTTTATCTTATTTTCTGGGTTTCAGAAGCGTACCGTTGTGCAAACAAAGCAACTCATGTAACTGCCTTGTTAGATATCACACTCTCTCTCCCTTTCTCCTTTATTTTCAGGAGTATAAGTTCGATCGATACATAGAGAATGGCAAGAAGAAAACCACATTCTACAAGGCAGGAAGAAAACTGAAGTATTTCCTAATGCCCTTTGGCTCTGGGATCAGCATGTGTCCAGGGAGGTTCCTTGCGATGAATGAGATGAAGATGTTTCTTTTCTTACTATTGGCTCGTTTCGATGTAGAACTAGCAGAAAACAAAGCTGTGAGACTTGATAACAGTCGTATGGGCCTTGGTATCCTCCTGCCAGACGTTGATATTGCTTTTCGTTACAAGCTGAGGTCCTTAAGAGAGTGAGCGGCTGCCTATATGCCTTCTACTAATCTCTATGTTTGCTCTGTTTCATCACTCAGCTTTGTATTTTTGGAAACATTTGCTTTTCCCTCTCTGCTTTTACCTCCTTCCTAGTTGTTTCTAAGGAGAAAAACCCTTAGCCTGGAGGTAGATACCAGCTGTGGGGATATGCAACCTCAATTTTTCCTGCCTGAGTTGTGAGTAGTGAGGTGAGATGACAAGATGACAAGAGTTTGGCCAAGTAGATAGCCCAAGGTCCCTACAAGACGGAGCCCCATACTCTTGGCCGTGAGTTGTGGAGGATTTACAGGGAGGATGACATCAAGCTGAATCCAGGCTGTTTATGTGGGAAATGGGCTCAGCAGCTCTCTCTCACAGGGGTTCCCCCTTGTTAGACTGGGAGATCCCAAACACCCACCATCTGGAGGCATCTCTGCATCTCCTCACAGAAGCATAATAGCAAGAAAGAGGGAACTTAATTCTAGGGGGTGAAAGAATTTTTAGTGATTATTATTCTAACTTTTTATTTACTCTGTTCCCTTCACGGTCTTGAGTGTCTTAGCCCTTATTTGGGAGATATGATGGAAGCTGTGTGGGGTGTTGGAGGATGATCAAGAATGTCTGACTGACAACACATTTCTGACTTCAGTTTTATGTACTGAGAGTGAATGCTTTTTGTTTCTTTCCTTTGTTTTGGTGCAATGAAAAGAAATTGGAATCTGTGATTTTTTTTTTTTTCCTGCAGTCATTTAAGTCAGAAGGGAGATTCTGTTGATTTTAATAGGCTCTGGATCAAGCTTAAATTATCTATTTGGGCCTTTGAGCCAAAAAAGTTTATTCTTCAGGGAGAAAATATATGAGCCTGTTTGAAATGATTCTACCATCTCAAAAATTACCTTCTGTTTGTCTCACTGTTTTCCTAGCAACACGTCCATGTGTTTCTTCATTTCTACAAAAAAGAAAATGAAGAAAAGAGCTTCAAGGGCAAGTGTGGTGTCTAAAACTACTTTTTAATAGTGTTTTACTGCGCCTAAATTATGCATAGACAGAGTAGTGTGACCTGTGTTTGGAAACAGGCTTGTCCCTTTACAAATTGGAAAATAGGCTTTTCCCTGGGGTCAAAATTTGAGCAAGTGAAATCAATGGGCAACCACAGAATTTATCTGTATGCTGGCTGCCCAACCTACTTCACTGGTTGGGTCTTGTGTTGAAAATTAATTTCCTAGTGCGCAGGATCTAGGATTTTTAGACCCTGTCTCCCTTCCCAGCCATCACTTCAGAGACTAATGAGGATTCTCATGGCTGTCCAGTCTCACTTTGCCAAGACGATAATTGTGATGGGAGAGTTGCCATGTCTGTGGGCCTAGCCCTCCCCCAAAAAAATCTCTTTGGGATGTGCCAGTGTAAGTCTTTTAAAGTCAGAAGTTTTACTCATCTCTAAAGCACCTGATGGCCTATGGATGGAAACTGCTCCGTACATACTAAGGATTAGAATTATTTATTGTTATTTGTGTAGAAGCCTGTTTAGTTATTCATGTAAAGCGCATACCCTAAATAAGCATCGGCATCAGTAGAAAGGCTTTCAGAGATTGGCACAGCCACATTCCAAATCCTCCAAGGAGAAAATTGTGGTTTTGTGAGATATATTGGATAAACATTTTCTCTTCATATATAATATCAATAATGTCTAGTGTTGGAGTACGCTTACATTAAATGGGCTTTGCAGTTGATTAAACGTTTTAACTTTGCTTCAACATTTAATCAACAGCAAAAGCTGATTATTGCTTTGTGCCACAGAATAAAATTTGTTTTTATGGAGAGATTCTTGCACTCAAGTTACTTACTGCTGTAGTTACTCTGTAGGACCTATTCTGTACTCAGCCATAGCTCACAATCCTGTTTGGACATTAGAGCCTGGTTTACTGAGAGAGGAAAGGTTGATATCATTGCACTGTATTCCATTATTGCTTAAATGTAAGCTGTAGAATGTCTCATGCCACAGTTATGATAAATCTCTCTTTGGCATCCAACTTTGAAACAAACCTGAAGCAACTGGGAAAATAACAGTAGGTATTTGTTTTAAACAGAAGACTTTTTTTTATAATTGTATTCTATATTTAGGATTTTGAATTAAAATATCACAGGCAGCTGCATAATTTGGTAGGGCATATAGGACTGTGCCAAAAGTACATGCAAATCATTAGTAATTTCAGATTAATTGCTGATCAGTTTGTATAGTACCTATTTTGAAATTGAAAGAAGAGCTAGATTGTCCCCAAAATATCAGATGAAATCTGTAGGCCATGCTTCCATTTAAAAAAGAAAAAAAGGGTCAGAATCTTTCCCAGGACTTGCAGGAAACCTCCATGAAGGCACTTGGAGGCCTTGTGTCTGGGTTGCAGAGCACTCTTTGCACCACACAGGAGGCCAGCATTTTGCTGGGATCAGTGTTACTTGCTCTTTTTGCTCAGGGACCAAAATAATCAAACATAAAGCAGGGCCTGCCCAGCTTGTCCTGGAAGCCTGTCCCTGGTAAGCCATGCTCCTGGTAGACCAGTTTTGGTGGTAAGCAATGCATGACTACCTTAGCATACCCCAGCTGCTGAGGAGGTAAGCCTCACCCACGTGTGGAGTCATGAGAGCTGGAGCAGGACGGAGGAGACGTTAAGCCCTTCTGGTCCTTGTACTCAGCAGCTGAGGAGGTGACTTGTTTCCTAGAGTGGGCAGCTGCTCTGACCAGGAGTGAGTCAGTCTCTGTGGAGCAGGGAGTGAACAGCACACGGTGTCGGTATTCCTGGTCAATAAGCCATAGCAGCACAGCAGGATGAGCACGCACCATCCCTGGAGGTCCTGACTGGAGCCGAGCTGGCTCCAGCGTGCTGTGCCAAGGACAGCGTGTTTCATGACGTAGGATGCAGTATGGGTTCTGATGACCTTCTCTGCCGCAGAACTCAGGGGCAACCAGCCCTTGGTGTCTGTCACTGGGGCACTCAGATGGCAAAAGCACCTGAGGAAGAAGGGCAGTGCTGTTTGCAAGCGTTCAGATGCCAAGGGTGAGCGGTGGGAGGCAGTCGGACCTTGTGCTTCCCTGTCCCTCCTCTCCACTTCAGCAGGGGGGTCTGCCCCTCAAACCCAGCAGTGCCCGCTTGCCTCATCCGCTGACCCGGCAGGCGTAGGGTCAGCCAGGAGGAGCGCGCGGGTGCCCCTGGAATTTCCCTGCTGATCCTCTTGTGACATGGTGTGCTCGCTGATCAGTCTGAGATGTGACACGGCTGATCAGTACCAGCCTCCGACTGCGAGTTGTCGCTGCCTATGGCTATATTGGTAATATCTTCTGCTATCAAAAAAAAAAAACAAAAACCACACCCAACCACCACCATAAAACAGTTTTGCTAAATCATTATGGCCCTTCAGAGCACCTGAGAAGAAAAGTGAATTCATCAACTAATGTGAATGCTAAAATGTGATTTTTTTATTATTATAATTATTATTTTAATTTACAGATTGTATATTCTCCATTTTCATATTGGCACCCAGTACTGTTATAAGCTATTGTAAACTTTTTAAGCTGTTACATTACTTAAAAGACCATGTTAGTCGATGTGTACCTGTTTGCAAATTAGACTTCCACATCTCTGCCAGTACATCCCAATGTGCTAATATAAAATCATGCCACGAGTTGTTCTTTAGTTTATGCTTTTAAGCCAGTTGCATGTCACTATTTTTGGTGTTGCTATTTTTTTATGAATAATTACCGGTCTGTGAATTTCTCTTGTAGAATTATAAATGATCTTTTATTTCATCCTTATTGAACTTCCTGACATTCAAAAGATTGTGAATTGTTCTTAATTGTGCAAACTGACATTTTGTATGTAGATGAACAACGGTTAGGTTCTGCTTTAATAGTTGATATCCATCATTAGGGCTCTTAGATCGAGTAAGAGTGAATTTGTGAATTTCTCAGCAAGAAAATTGAAACTTCATTATTTTAGTAATCTAACATCTTAAGTGAATTTTGTATTTCAAGGACACAATAAAAATGAATATATCTATTTTAATATTGAATGACTGTCCATGGTATTTTTTTCAAGCTTATATTTGCATATTTCTCACAGATTTACAGCTATTGATTTCATTTTTAAATTGTTTATTCAGCATACAGCATTTTTCTGTTACTTGGTCTTGAAAGATATTTCTGTAAAGCAAAAAAACCTTTAATTCAGCACTGTCATGGAGCAATTCATTTGACTTTAGGAAATTATCAAGTCTGCTTTAATGCCATCAAACTTAATCTTATGAGGAAAAAAAGTTGTATTTCTGACATTCTTGGGACATTATTCAAAATGAGTATAAAGGTTTGCAATCCACCAGTAATTCTCAAATACAACTCCTAGGCTTTTTCTTTTGCAAACCTCTCTGTAGTACAAGATGTACTGCCTAGTGTAAAATATTCTACCCTCTCAGATCATTCATTTTAAGAGGGGAAATGAATGAAAATCGTTACAATAAACAGCACGCAGCCAGCAAAGCACAACTTGGTTTTTCTAGGTGCCACGGTAGCTACTGAGTTCTACAAGTAGGTTTTTAGTATGAAGGTTGTACCCTAAAGATATCCGTGTTTCATCATTCCTTCATGCAGAAATGCTTTGCCAGGTATGTCTCTGAGGGTTGTTGAAGATATGTCCTAGTGCAGACAGACCTGCAGCGTTTTTCTGGGTTCGATAAATGTGGTTTTAACCAGACAGTTGCCATAACTCCAGGTTATATTAGAAGTTACTGAAGTTTATAAATAAAAAGTGTCATCGTTTGAGATTTCTGGAAGGGCACATTTCTCAGTGAGCCTTCCATGATGGTCTGAAAGATAGCTTGGGGCAGGGGGGGTGTGGGGGATTAATAAGACCTCCTAACACTGTATTTTATCTAATATTTGGTTTGACACTAGGTGCTTTCTTGATGTTTCTTATACTGGACCGGATTTTAAAATTAAGACATCAATTTATGCATGACATATTGTTTAATTCATGTGAATAGAGCTATTTTAACGGTTGGACCACAGGAAGTATTTTCCTACCTATTGCCTAAACCAGCTTATGTATCGTGGCTAGTCATGTCCCGATATCCACAACAAATCAGAAAAATGATCTTGTTGCAAAAGCACCCTTTAAGACTACACTTAGGAAAGTATTGTGATCCTGAAGTTATTGGCTATGTTTATAAATAGCAGTAAGTGTGAAGAAATAGTTGCTGCATATATAGAAGGATATGAAGAATAGAAAATGTCCCCATTTTCATTTGAAAGCAAAGAATTTTTTTTTTTT